TGAGTAGGAAACTCTGGCTTCAGGGGGTATAAGGATAGAGACAAGATCGCAGCAGGACTCACCTGGCTTCTGGGGCTTCATGCCCCCACCAAGGCCTGGAGGAGATTTGGGAACAGGTGAGGAACTCGGGAACCCCCTTCCAGAGCCTCCCCATGCCCCTCCCTGCTCTGCTCCTACCTGCTCCATATCCATTCTGGGTTGCTGGGCCTGGGGGGAGAGGGATAGTAAGCTGGAGGGATTGGTGGTCTCGCTGAGGCAGAGGTTAAGGTTCCCTGTCTCGGACCAAGCCAGAAATCTAGAATCCTAGAGGCTTTCTCCCGGCTCCCCTTCAATTATTCACCAATCCTGCCCCTCCAAGGCCTGGGAGGGAGGGAGGAGAGGACACCCAGTCTCACCTGGCTGGGCTCCCAGCCCATTGCCATTCCTGAATCCTGCAGAGGAGGGACAGATCAAGGTGGAGGTATGAATGACAGGAGGGGGGCTCAGGATTTTGGGTAGGTGGAGAGACAAAGGCAAGCATGAGGCTCACCTGGCTTCTGGGGTTCCACACTCGCTCCAAAGCCTGGTGGAGAGTCAGAGAACAGGTAAGGGAACTGGGCTCCATTCCTGCACCTCCCCAGAACCTGGGCTGTGCCCTTACCTGGTCCATAGCCATTCTGAGCTGCAGGGCCTGGTGGAAGGAGAGAAGAGCTGTGGATACTGACCTCTCTCTGAAGCTCCACCCAAAGCCTGTTCCTTTTAGCTCTAAACCCACACCCACCCCTACCCCACCCCACCCCACCTAGCTGGGTCCTATACCTACCCCAAGGGTCCAGGCTCCCTCCAGAGCCTGAGCACCATACCTAGCTGCCTGGGTCCCACCTAGTTGGGTGTCACTGTCAGCAGCCATGTCAACCAGCCAGGAAGGTGGACTCCTTGATGCCCCCTTTCCCTCACCAGCTACATGCTATTAGCATTAGCACCCCCTGACCCCAACCTTGCGGCTTTCCAGCTATTTCCAAATCCTGTGCCCTTCCTGGTCCTCATTTTTCAGTGGGCCACGCCCTCTAGTGGACAGCCTGGTCGTGTGTTGCATTCACGCTTCCGTACTGTTTGCCTCTGCCTGCCCACATGCCACAGGCTCTGGAAGAGCCTGTCTCTAGCACCTGGCTGGCCCCTAGATATTTGTTGAATGGGTGTTTCTTTTGGGACACCAAGTAGGAGAAGCAGAGGGGAGGTCTCACCTGGCTTCTGAGGTTTTAGTCCTCCGAGACCTGGGGAAGAAAAGGCAGCTGTCCGTGAGTCTGTGAGGCCACCTGGCTCTTCCTCAGGTCCACATAGAAACTATCCCTCAGTGACCCCCACGCTCCTGAGCTCTAGGGCCTCACCTGGCTGGGGTCCTGCTCCTGGGAAGGCCCCAGTTCCTGGCCCATTCCCGAATCCTGGGAGACAGGGCAGGAGGGAGTAAGGAAAGATTAGGGACTTGGAGGGAACAGACAGATAAGAAGATACTGGACAGAGCGGAGCTCACCTGGCTTCTGGGGTTTTCCGCCCCCTCCATAGCCTGGGGGAGAGATGAGCAGGTGAGGGACCTAAAAACCCCTTTCTCTGGGCCTGCCCCAGAAAATCAGCTGCAGGCTCCCAGTTTCTACCCTCATACTCCAGCCGTCCCCTCTCTACCTGGTCCAAAGCCATTCTGTGCTGCAAGACCTGTTGTGGGGGTGACACAAGGAAGCTGGGTGGTGCTAAAGTGGAAATGGCCCCCAGGCTCTCCCACCCTGCTCCACATATCCCTGCCCTCCCTTCACATATCCCTCCATTCAACCTGGTTAGATTCCAAGGTAGGGAGGTGACTGTGGGGACCTGTGACAGGAAAGGGGCTGGAAAGACTGAGGTGGTGAGGGACAGCAGCCCCAGACCCCTCCCCACAGTTGCCCTATTTCTGGCCCATGAGACTTCCAAGTAGTCTAAATCCCACCGCTTCTTCCTGCCCCCACAATGGCCACCAGTGAGTCCAGCCCTGGAAACATCAGCTTCCGGAAGACGGGGTTTTTCATTCTCTGCTTAAAACCCCAAGGGCGTGTCCCCAAACCTCCAGCCCCCTACCTGGCTCCCCCTACCTGGCTCGCGAACCCTGACCACAGTTCTCGATGGCACTGGGCTTGTGTGCTTCTGGGCTTCTGGGCTGAGCCCAGTGAGTAGTTGGCCAGGTCAAGGTTGACTAGCATTGTGTCTACAGTGCCCAGCTGAGGCCTGGCTTAGGGCAGGTGAAATGAATGAGCCCCTCAGAGCCCCTCTGCTAGGAACCAGGGTTTGGGGGTTGCCTGGGACCCTGGCCTCTTTCTATGAGACTCCTTCCCCAGCTGGGCCCCCAGGTCATTGCCAATGTCACGTGCTGGAGAGGAACGACAGAGTGAGGAGTGGGTTTGGGAGAACTTGGTGGAGAACAAAATAGGGATGGGTGGGGATTGAGTCAAGATGGGGAGGCAGGAGGGCAGCGTCTCTGGCTCACCTGGTTTCTGTGGTTTCACGCCACCTCCCAAGCCTGGGGAAAGACCAATTGCCACTGAGCCAGGTACAGACCCCACCCCACCCCTATTCTGCCCATATAAATCAATTTTCTGCTCTTCTGATCCCCTTGCTCCTACCCCTCCCTCCTTCCTTGAACCCCAGTTTTGCCCGGGTGTCCTCACCTGGCTGGGCTCCAATTTTGGGGAAGACCCTGGCTCCCATCCCATTCCCGTTGCCAAATCCTGGCGGTCAGAGCGAGAAGGAGTAAGGGCAAGCTAAGTAGCAGGGTACGGACAGGAATGGATAGAACAGGACAGGGACATAGGGATAGGTTGACTCACCTGGCTTTTGAGGTTTCACACCCCCTCCAATTCCTGAGAAAAAGACAGGGACCAGGTGAAGGAGCCTGGATCTCCCTTGAACCACCACACCCAAGCATATGCCTCCAGTTCTCATCCCCCTCCCTACCTGGTCCCTGGCCACCATTCTGAGCCACAAGGCCTGTGGAGAGAGGTAGGGCAGAGGCTGGAGCTGAGTCACTGTGGGCTCCAACCTCCTGTGCTGTTCTCACCTCAGGACCTCTGTGCGCCCCTCCACCCCCACCCCGCCCCAAACAGTTCTCAGGGGCATGAGAAGGGCCTGGAAGTCTGGAAGATCCTCCCCAAGACCACGGCTTTAACCATAGGAGTGGCCGAAGCAGCCCAATGAAGGGAGCAGTCCCTGGGAGAGTAACACAGTGCAAGAAGGTGAGGCTCTCCCCTCACCTGGCTTCTGAAGTTTCATTCTCCCTCCAAGGCCTAGGGAGAGAGAGAGAGGTTGACACTGACCCCAAACAGCCATCCCCCTCAATTCAGTCCTGATCTGACCCCCATCCCTTGCCCACCCTTCCCTGCAGCCCCTGCCCAGCCACCCTCACCTGGTAGGGCTCCTGCCCCTGGAAAAGTACTGACTCCTAAACCATTTCTGCTCCCAAATCCTGAGGACACAGAGGTGGGGGTGGGGGGCTGTAAGCCCTGAAGTGGGCAGGTTTCAGGCACATAGAGGGGCTGGGATGGAAGTGGGCAGGGAACGTGCTGGGATGGGATGGGCTCTTCACTCACCCAGCTTTGGAAGTTTCATTCCCGCTCCTAGACCTGGGGAGAGTCAGAGAGGCTAAGCCCCCTACTTCCCCCAAGAACTCAGCTCTCTCCCCTATCGGCTCCCTGATCCCAGCTCTGTCCCCAACCTTCTCTCTCCCTGAACCTCAGGGTGGTACTCCAGGTGTCCTCACCGGGCTGGGCTCCAAGCCCGGGGAAAGCACTGGCTCCCAGAGCATTTCCATATCCTAGGGAGACAGAGCCAGAGGGAAGAATAAGGAAGAAGAGGGGGCTTCAAATGGAGCCAGCCAGATGGTGAGGTGGACAGAGGGGCCAGCATAGAGAGCTGGTTCTCACCTGGCTTCCTGGATTTCACACCCCTTCCAAAGCCTGGGGAGAGAGATGTAGTAGATAAGGTAACCCCAGGGACTCAGCCTCTTCCTGGGGCTCCATAGCCATGTTTAACTGAGGGGTGAGGCAAGGGGCATTTGAGGTCCCAGCTGAGATGGGAGATGAAGCAGGGGTACTCTGTTCTCCCATGTCCAAACTAGACATTAGGTCCTTCCCTCTGCCTCCAATGAGTCACCAGTCCTGCCCTGGACAAGTCTAGGAGAAGCCCCTCCCAACAATGCTGACCCAGCCCTATCCCCCCACGTCATAGCCGTCTTTCTTCCCCCACCTCACCTGGATGGGCTGCTGCACCTGGGAAGGCCCCTGCTCGGAGCCCGTTCCCATTCCCAAACCCTGGGGAGACAGGGCAGGAAGGGGTCAAGGAGGAAGTAATTGAGACCAGGGCATAGAGATGGCAGGAGAAGGCAGGGTGGGGGCTCACCTGGCTTATGGGGTTTCACACCCCCTCCAATGCCTGAGAAGGAGATGAGGGTCAAGTGAGAATCTCAGGAGGCCCCATTTCAGGGATGCCCCTAGAACCCTAGCTCCAGTACCCCCCATCTTCAAGGCTACTCTACCTGTTCCATAGCCATTCTGAGTTGGAGAGCCTGTGGGGAGAGGGAGGGATGAACTAGTGAGGTTGGTGGGTGTGCAGAACCCTTGGACCCAGCTAGAAATAGCAAACCTGAAGGCTCTCAATCTGCCCCCTCTCACCCCACCCCCAATCATATACTAATCTTGCCCTTCCCCTCTGAGGCCTGGGAGGGAGGCAGAGAGAAGACCAACCCAGACCCCAGTACTCTCGCCTGGCTGGGCTCCCAGGCCATTCCTGTTCCCAAATCCTGGGGAACAGATAGAGGTGAGGGGTATGAGAGTAAGATGGGGAGGGAGGGAGAGAGAGAGAGAGAGAGAAGAGAGAGAGAGAGAGAGAGAGAGAGAGAGAGAGAAGGAGGGAGAGAGAAGGGGACAGTGCTGGGGCTAGGCAGGGCTCACCTGGCTTCAGGGACTCAGGATGCCCCCTCCCTAAGCCCGCTCCTAGCTGGCCGAGGGGACATTCAGTGAGCCAGGCTTGCCCACCTTGTAGCTGGGCTTAGTGGAATAACATGAAGAACAATTAGGGACAGTAAAGAGTTGGGGGATGCCCAGGGCAGGGTACACAGGTGAGATGACACCAAAACAATCTTGATGTATTTCTGGAGGTGAGAAGAAGTATGTGCAGGAGGGAAAAGAGGCCTGCTGGAAGGGGTCAAAGATGGGCTTCTCTGCCTGGGGGGTGTCAGCGCTGTTCCCACGTGTTTCTGAGATGGCTGCCCCACCCACCCACAAATCCCATTTGCCCAGCCCTTACCTGCTCCCAGGCCACTGGGGGGCCTGTAGCCTGGGGGACAAAATGAGATGTTGAGTGGGGGGGGGCAGGAGGGACTAGGAACTAGGGTGCCCTACCCTCATTTAGAGGACACAGAGCTGCCCCCACCCTGCCAGCTTTACCTAATCTGTAACCATTTGGGCTCCCTATGCCTGTGGGGTCAGGGAGAAGAGGAGTGACTTAGGAAGGAGCAAAGAGGGCCAACTATGGATGCCCCACCACCACTCTGCAGAGTAAGAGTGCGCTTCCCTCTCTGGAGCTCAGTTTCCACTCTGGTCACAGGAGCGGTGAGAACAGAACCAGGTGAGCAGACTGGTGGTAGGGGTTCCAGACGGGGTTGTCTGGTCTGTGCCCCTATGGGCAAGTCTCTCACCCCCTCTCCTCAGGGGTATGTGCATCTCTCCCCTCCATTCTTACTTTGGAGGGTTTTTGGACCCTTCCCTTCCTGGAAATCTCATCCTCCTTACTCCCCTCAATCATTTTCTCCAGCAGCTTAGATCGGGTCTCAGGAAAGAGCCCCTTCTCCCACTCTTAGGACCCCACAGGTCGCTGGAGTGAAGATACGTCTGTGACACTCAGTCTCCTCCCTGCCTTCCCCTACTCCAGCCTCCTCTTTTCCCCTCCTGTCCCACACCCAAACCTTTGACCCTCTTGCTTCCAGGGATGTCCTTCCCCTTGCTTGTCACAATCCAAACCCCCCACTGAAGATCCAGTTCCAGGTCCTTCCTCAGGCCCTGATATTCTCATGTTCAGAGTTGAGATTCTGCCCCATCTTATTCTGTTCTAAGGGTGTGGGTCTGTGCTCCCCACACTTAAGCTGACCATGGATAAGAATGCCTGCCAGGAAGACAGGGAGGGACCCTGTGCTCCTCTGGGCCCCACATCTGGATTCCAGAGCTGGGGAACATTTGGGGCTCTCCCCAGAGAGCTCCCAGACTCCTGGGTGGAGAGACCAGGTCCTCTTCCTGGACCTTATACCAGGAGGGTCCACTCACCTTTCCCTAGGCCAGGAGACGACGGAGGCAGCCCTGGGGAGCAGGGCGGTATTGACACAGGTGGGGACCCCAGAGACAGAAAGGGGCAGGACCCAGGCATCTATCCCTAGCCTCCCAAAACCCTACCCAGCCAAGACTTCACATAACCAATCCTCCACATATCCAATCCTCCCTCTCCCCAGAGCCCCGGCCTCTGACCCAATGCTCTACCTAAACCCCCAGCCCCAACCCCAGCTGCCTAGACCCTGCTGCTGCCCATCTCCCGCCCTCACCGCCTTGCAGGCTTTCAGAAGTCAGGCAGAGCAGGAAAAGGGCCGTGGGGAAGAACCAGGCACCCATGATGCCTGGCAGTGTGGGAAGGCACACAGCATTAGAGCCTTTAAACACTCCTGCTGGGTGGGGGCCCTTACCAGCTGTGAGTGGCAGAGGTTCTGCTGGCAGACCCAGGGGGCCAGCCCCTACCTCCCTCTGCAGCAGGAGTCCACCCTCTCATCCATCATGGGTGCTGACAGCTGGGATAGGCCTCTGTCTTGCCCCCAGGCTTCTCCACCCCATCAGGGATAGGAGCCCTGGCACTAGGGGAAGGCAGGCATGGAGGGGGGAGGGCACCCAGGCCCAGAAATGTGGGCATGGCTGGTAGGGGAGGCGCAGAATGAGTTACTGTGTTACATGGAGAGAGAGAGAGAGCAGGAGGCAGAGACCACAGTGTTACAAAGGCCTGCAGTGAGGTATCACTGTAGTACATTGTATCTGACAGGTAGACTTGCCCACAAGAAGAGAGGCTATTATCCCACCTAACCCTTACGACCACAAGTACACCACCAGGAGATGGCCCTTCGTCCCCATCTAAGGCTGGGCTTGCAAGAGTGGGCCTGAAGCCTCCCTTCTGTGAGGGATAGTGACCACAGAGACGGGTCATCTCATGCTCAAATTGCCTAAGGATCCTCGTTGTTTCTTGAAGGTTTAGCCAGGGCCCACCTGCTGCAGGGCCCACCAGCTTCACCCCTATTTCTACTGAACTTCAGCAGCACTCACTCTAATTTTGGGAGACAGATTCTCAGGGGGCCACTGCTCAGGGTGTGGTGGAGGCAGGATTGCAAGAAGGGTACCTGGGAGGCTAGTAACTGCTCTCCATTCATAGTGGGCGGGGCGATGGAGCCAGACCAGGCACAGGGGGCTTGGTGGGGAGCCAAATATGGGAAGACAAAAGAGGCAGGCCTGGGAAATGCCAGGAGTTGGGGGTCTGGATATCAGCCCGCACCTCCTCCAGCGAGTCTGTGGACCCCACCGGGCTGGCTTGAAACAGCAGTGATTCAGGCCTCCTGAGTCTTAGTCCAAAAGCCCCACGCCCTGTCTTTTTGCTGGCCTTCCCCCTGCCCTGCCAGGCCCTCCTGGCATCTGCAGCTAAGGAGTCCAGCCTGCCAAACCAGGCAGCCTGGCAGGGCGGGGGCCTAGAGAGGGGCTACAGTAAGAAATGGGCAGCAGGGGGTGGTGTTGCTTTTTGTCTAAGGCCTCTGAGCTCACAACACCAATGGGGGTGGGTCTAGTCAACAGTGAACTTCAGGGCTTTTCCCAGGTACCCCTCACCTGTAGTCCTCTCAGCACTGAGCTGTGCCTGTGCCTCCCCGCCGCACCTACCCCTGAGCTGCAACCCTGCTGTGTTCTCTCTCGGCACATGAGGGCCCACACCCAGCGATCATGCTCACCTGAGCACACAACACACACACCACGGCGCCCACCTCCCCCTACAGACCCACCTTTGCATAAGGCTCCTGCTTGGTCCCCTCAATCTAGTGCTCCGGCACAGCACCCCACATGCCTACTTCCTGCCCTAACCAACAGAGAGCCGTGACCTAGAGTCCTGGAGGCTGGACTTTCCACTGGCTGCTGGGAGTGGCTCAGAGGGTGGCCCCTGGCTCCAACCACCCATGAGAGCCCCAAACAGCTGGGACAATCTACTTAAGCTCCCTGGGGAAGGTTTTTCTGCCAGGCCACCTGCTCCTCCTCATGGCAGCAGGCACTGGCTCCCCGGTCTCCTCATGGAGGGCAGCTGAGTGGCCTCATGGTTAGCAGGCTAGGTGCTGGATTCAAGTACCTGCTCTATCTAGCTGGGGAGCTTGAGCAGGAATCTTACCTCCCCAAGTCTATTTTCTCTCCTCTAAAATGATGAATAGTGCCACCATGTAAGAGCTATTGGGGAAGCTACTTCACACCCTGTTTTACAGATGGGGAAGCAGAGGCAGAGAAGAGAAGGGAGCTGGCCCAAACTGAACACCTCCTAAGCAGTGGGGCTGGGGTTTGAAGCAAAGTCTGCGGGGCTCCTGAGTCCACAGTCTTCTACTCTCTGATACTCCACACATTTCTGGGCAGCAACAGGCCCCGTTCCCCCAGACACTGCATTGTTCTCTTTGCCTTCCCCACACCAGTCTGGCCCCACGGTGTCTGCTTCAGACCTGGAAAAGCTGAGGGCCCCCTACACAGACTCAGACACACAGACACTCGGCTTACTCCTCAGGATGCCAGGAAAGCTTGACGCAGGAGGAGATAGGCAGGGAGACCAAGAGGGGCCATGCAGGAGGTACAGGCCGGGTGCCTGCTTGGCCACTGCCAGAGCGAATGCCAGTACCACCACCAATGCCAGGCTGCCTGGGTACTGGCATGATGGACCTGTGAAAAATGCCTGCCAGCCAGGCAGCCAGCCAGTCAGCCAGGGGCCTCGGGCCAGCTTGATGCTGCTCAGAACCAAGACCAGGGCCAGGCCCAGTTGGGCACCCAGAGCCCTTGCATTGCTGCCACCCCAACCTCCAGCACAGTCAGTCACCTCAGCTCACCCCAGCACCACCAAGGCAAGTTGGGCCTGAGAGCACATGGACCACTCGGGGGATGAGAGAACCCTTGATGGAGCCTGGGCCGGGGCTACCCTCTGCTCCCAGGCATGAGGGGACATGACCCAGACTCTAGCTAGAGGAACAACTTTGAGGGCCAGAGCTAGAAGCCAAGGGCATGGTGACAGCTGGGGTGTTAAAAGCACAAGACAGAGGCCCAGGAAGCACGTTGCTTAAAATGGCACAGCCTGTGTCAACAGACTCCAAGCCAGCTGCTCAGGGTAGCAGCACCTGCCAGCGGGGAAATTAGGGGAGGACAGCTGGAGGGGCGGCCAGGCGCCTTCAGGGCAGACACCTTCTGAACCCCAAGCTATGTTAAGGGCTCCTCAGGTCACCCCCTTGTGCCTCTATCTGGCAGCTTTTCAGCCCCATTCCTGGCACAGGCACCTCTGAGACATCTTCCCAAGCACCCCTGGGGCACTTAGCACTGTGCAAACCTGACTTCTGTTAACTCCCTCTTCCCACTCACTTGTCAGTTTATTAAATCTATGCCAGCGTGAAGTATGGCATACATTCTGAAGTGTGCATAAGACAAATGTAAAATATATAAATACCTATTAAAGAAAACACCTATGCAGCTGGCCCCAAGGTCAAGAAATAGAACATGGCTAGCTCCCCCGAAGCACCAATCACAATTTCCTCTTTCCTGCTAGGGTAGCCATGTTTATGCTTGTGGCCGTCATTTCCTTGCCTTTCTTACTTCACGTTATCCTGTTTTGTAGACTCATCCTAGAGGGACTTCTTCGAGAAAGTCTGGGTGGGGCCGCGGTGCTATTGCCGCGACTGCACACACGGGGGCGTGTGCGGCTCAAGCCGGCTCTCACCTGGATGTGGGAATCCCGCGCCTGGGCTGAGGAATGGGGGCTTCCTGCTAAACCGATCCCCAGCTAAGCCCTTTGGTTGAATCCTGTCGGCCTGCGTCTCTGTCCCCGTGACGCCAGGGAGGGGGCGGGAGTCCTAGCCCCTCTCCTCCAGGTTCCTCCTTTTGGCCCAGATGGCAGCTTTGAAAACCAAGAAACAATATACAAATGAAGGGGTGTTACTGTTACTCATTAAAAAATAAATAAGCTCCTTCTGTGTGCTAGGCCCTGTACTAAGCACTTCGCATTCATTTTCTCATTTAATGCTCATGCCTCCCCCCTAGGAGGTAAGAATTATTATTATTACCCCTATTTTACAAATGTGGAGACAGTCCCAGAGACATAGAGAATTGTCCGTGATTGCACAGCTTCTGTGTGACAGAGGGGCCCTAATTCTCCATTCTATGGCCCATGCTCTTATCTGCTATCCGAACTTTGTTATATCCCTTCCGCACAGTGAAATGTCCATTGGAAACATGTTTTTTAATTAAAAAAATATGTAAAGTCACTGTGTATTAGACTTTCAAGAAGGAGCAGTTGGAAAGGGGCCTGAGTCCAGGACTCCTGGATATGAGGCTGACGTTGGGGATGACAGCTGGAGAGGAGCCTACTTACTTCCCAGGCCTCCTGGGAACAAGCATGGGGTCTTTAATAAAGACCTAGCCTGAGTCACAGGGACTGTGGCTGCCAGAGATGCTAATGCAAAGGGTGCATGGTGGTGGGGGTGGGGAAGTGTTGCTGCAGCCCTCAGAGAAGCTCTGCGTCTAATCTGGGATGCCAGGCTGGTCCATGCACTGGAGAGTGCTCCTTGAAGGACAAACACTGCAATGGGTTGGGAGTCTGCTGTCCATGACCTTTCAGAGACTTTGGGGGAGGAGTTGGTCAACAAGTAAACCAATAAATAGAGGATAGAATTTCAGATAGAGATAAGCGCAATACAAAAATGATGGGAGAAAGAATGTGATGAGATGCTGAGCAGTCTAGGAACGGTGTCTTGAAAGCAGGACTCCTCTTCACCCTGAAGGAGCAACCCCAGCTGCACTAATGTTAGAAATCAGCGCTTGCTCTGTCCCTAAGAACTTTAAGGGGATCATCTCATTTGAATTTCCAGCTCCATGAGAAAAGCTTCATTAGCTCAATTTTTACAGGAGAGGAGACTAATTCGAAGCTCAGAAAGGCCCAGGTGCATTCCCAAGGTCGTTCAGCCAGGAAGCGGCTGAGGGAAGTGTGAGCTGAAGTCAAATCCAAAGAATGGGAAGGGCTGCCTCTGAGGTGGCTGAGGCCTGGTGGCAGGGAGGATCCCGCCTGGTTGTCTGGAAGGGCTTCCTAAAAAAGGCAGCTTTTCTGGTTCCCGAAGCAGCTCGTTCCATTGGGCGCGGGTCGGAGGAAGGTCAGGCATCCCCATCGCATTCCCAGTGTGGGGCACGGCACGTGTGAGGGGGAAGCCAGCGAGCCCGGGGAACTCCGTTCTTTTGGGATCCCAGAGGCCGCTCTTTTGGGATCCCAGAGGCCGCAAGGACTTCCTTTCTTGCCTTGAGGTGACTGCCTCCTGGGGCTACACCTTTGAGGCAAAACGCAGTGAACGCTCCTTTTACAGATGCGAAAACTAAGCCAGTACGGCGAGGGCCGTGGGTGACAGGACCAGGGTTTAGAGGTCAGTGGGTGTCGGGGGAACCAGGCCGGAGGGGCCCAAAGGTCGGCTGAAACTTGACGGAGCGCCTCAAACACTCAAGGCCGCACAGCATAGCCAACATCGCCCCAGGCCGGCGCCAGGAAAAAGAGCGCCTGCGCAATGAGAGCGTACGGCCCGAGGAGACTGAGGGGCGGGGTTGGCAACGCGCACGCCAGGACGTGGCGGGCGGAGACCCAGAAGGCTGGGCACCTCTGATGGGCTGCATCCGGGAGGGGGCGGGGAATAAGGCGTTCTTGGGCGGGGCCTCGAGGCCGGTTTGGAATTTTTGGCGCGAGTTAGCTCCGCGCGCGTTCACGGGCCGTTCCCCCTGGAGAGAGTCATTTTGCCTTGGCGTAGAGAGCTGTCGACCGAAGACCCCGGCCCTCCTGACCGCCCCGAGTGCTCCCGTGGCCTCTGCCAACCCGGAATCTGGGACCTTACGGAGTTGCGCCCCGCCCACCTGCCCCAGGTGAGCCCAGCCCCAGCCCTGAGTGTTCTCAAGCCAGACCGCGCTCCCGCCCATTCTCCTCCTTCCCCGCAGCCCCTCGCCTCCTGAGACCCCCTCATCGGGTCAGCCTCATCCACTCCCCACTCCAACCTTCTCCCTCATCCGCTTTCGACAGTCCCCCACTGTTGGCCTGGGTCCCGCCTTGCCCTTCTGCTAACCCCATTTTGGGCCAGCCCTGCCCCCGGCGGCCCCGCCCACTTCCCGTTTAGCCTCTGGGAGTGACTGCCCCTGCTGTTCTCCAGTCCTTCCCCAGCTTCCCTGTCCCCTTTCATCTGGGAGCCCCTTCCCCTAGCCACTTACCCGCCTCCTGGTTACTTGTCCCTCCCCGGGAAAAGCCCCACCCACGTTCCATCTTCAGCCGCTCCCCCGTGACAGATGATCTACTCAACTCTGTTCGCCAGGGTTTTCCCATGCCCACGGAGGTGAATCAGCTGTGGGCCTGCCCGGGAGGACCTCAGTCTAGCGCAGTAGACCGTGGTCAGTAGAGGTGTCCCGCCCAGCCTCCGCTCAGGGCCAGACTGGATTCATTCACCTACTTCCTCCCCTGTTCCACCCTCAAAGCCGTTTGGCCAGGCCAGCTGTGCTAGAAAGTAAATGACATTGGGATGGTCTGAAAACCTGTTTTAAGATGCAGATGTCCTTTGACTCCAAGCCAGGACCGGGACTGGAGGCTGTACTTCTAACCAGTGCCCTGGGGTTTCTGACATCCCAGTTCTTCACTTTGAGAAACCCTGGGATGGAATTCCTGAGGTAAAAGTGGCAGAGGAAAGTTCCTCACAGTATGTGAGGTGAGGCTTCCAGACAGACCCCCGCGTGGGACCTTTCCTCAGCCCTCACTCTCTCTGGGCCAGGAGGGCACACTTCAGATGACTCCTCTCCATGTTTGTTACTCACCCCTTGTTGGGTATGGCATCTTTTGTTACACTGTGGCTTCCTCTCAAAATTAAACTGTCCTCCCTTTTGTTTTCTTGTTTTTGTTTCAATTACAACATTATGGCAACACAACATCCCTCTCTTCCCCAACACAGTCACTTATACACCTGGGACCATTGTAACTGTGTGTCCTTTTAATGACTACATAATGCTCTCTTCAGAGCATTATATATTATTTATAAGAGCATTTATTGAGGAATGTACATGCCAGACCTGTGGCTGAGCCTTCCCTGAGGTCAGTATTACAGGTCCACAAACCCCTGAGGCCAGGTATGTTTCAGAATTAAAAATGTGTCAGATTTTAGAAAGCTAATAGGGTGCTTATAACATTTATATGTAACACCACCCATGGGTCTGGGACATCATCCAGTAATCAAACACATTAATATTTTTGTCAAGAAATATATGAATATTCATACTTAGAGGAAAAAATAGGTTAGATCAGATTTTTCTAAGTAGATTTTGCATGTAGATATCCAGTTGTTCCAGCACCATTTGTTGAGATTATTCTTTCCCACTGACATGTTTTGGCACCCTTGTCATAACCAATTGACTGTAACTGTGAGGGTTTATTTCTGAATTCGCAATTCTATTCCATTGATTTATATGACTGTTCTTATGTGAGTACCACAGTTTTGATTTCTGTAGTTTTGTAGTAAGTTTTGAAATCAGAAGTGCGAGTCCTCTATTTTCATTTTGATTATTTTGACTATTCATGAACCATGAATTTCCATATGAATTATCGGATCAGCTTGTCAATTTCTGCAAAGAATCTAGCTGGGATTCTGATAGGCATTGTGCTGAATCTATAGATCAATTTGGAGAGTATTGCCATTTTATCCATATTAAATCTTTGGATCTATATGAATATGTAATGTCTTTCCATTTATTTAGGTCATCTTTAATTACTTAAAGCTGAGGGAAAAAAGGAAAGAAAGTATATACATGTAATGGTTGTCATATTGACCTTATTTACCACTTCTATTTCTTGTCGTTGGTTCTTGTGGGTTCGAGTTAACATCTGGTGTCATTTTCTGGTCCAATATAGTTTTGTTCCTGCCCACCTCCTTTGTGCTGTTATTTGCAAGTATATTACATTTCTCTATGTTATATGCCCAACAATACAATTACATACATATTGTTTTATACAATTGCTTTTTAAATCAGTTAAGAGAAGAAAAGAGAAGAGACATGTATTTATACTGTTTTTTATATCACATAATTACCTTTACTGGTGTTCTTTGTTTTTTCATGTAGGTTAGAAATGCTGTTTGGGATCATGTGCTTTCGGCCTAAAGAATTTTCTTTACTCTTCCTTGTAAATGGTCTATTAACAATGAATTCTTTCTGGCTTTATCTGGGAATGTATTTATTTTGCCTTTATTTTTGAAAGATAGTTTTATTAGATCTAAGAATCTTAGTTCACAGATAGATTTTCCCCACTCAGCACTTTGAATATGTCATCCTGTTGCCTTCTGGCCTCCACTGTTTCTGATGAGAAGTCAGCAGTTAATCTTGTGGGGAAGCTTGTAAGTAATGAGTAATTTTTCTCTTGCTACTCTCAAGATTTTCTTTTTGCTTTTGGTTTTCAGGACTTTTAATGTAATGTGTCCATGTGTGGATCTCTGCATTTATCCTACCTGAAGTTCATTGAGCTTCTTGGCTATGTTAATGTTCTTCTAAATGACATTTGGAAATGATATTTTTTTCCTGGTCCTCTTCTCCCCTTCTGGTGCACTCATTATGCTTATCTATGTTGGTTGGACTTAATGGTATCCTACATTTCTTCTTTTTTCTCTCTGTTCAGATTGCATGATCTAATCGATCTATCTTCAACTTATTTCTTCTGCCAGTTCAAATCTACTGTTGAACCTCTCTAGTGAATTTTTTTTTCATTTCAGTTATTGCACTTTTCAACTCCATAATTTCCATTTGGTTCTTTTAATAATTTCTATCTCATTATTGATATTCCTTATTTGGTGAGATGTCATCATGCTTCCTTTACTTTAAGTGTGGTTTTCTTTAGTTTTTTTGGACATTTTGCAGCTACTTTGAGGTCTCTGTCTGTCAAGTCTGACATCTGGTTCCTCTACAGCCAGTTTCTGCTCCCTGATTTTTGTCTCTGTGTTTGGGTCACACTTTCCCATGGCTTTGCATATCTCGTAATTTTTTTGTTCAAAACTGGACATTTTAGATAATATGTTTTAGCAGCTGTGGATACTGGTTCCTCACCTCCTTCTGGGGCTTGTGATTGTTGTTCACCTGTCTATTTGTTTAAATTGTCTATTTGTTTATTGACTCGCTGGATCACTGTAGTAACATCTCTTTCTGCAGTATGAAGCTTCTGACATTGCTCCTCCAAGGGCCTAGCCCAGGGCAATGCACAGTCACCCTGGAATACCAGTGGTTTTAGGGGAGGCTCTCTTTGACTCTCCTTTCCCTGATCATATCCACCTGTTACGCTTCCCCGGTTGCTGGCTGTCTGCTCTATTGTTTTTGCCCTGAGGCATTAATTGCTCCATAAACTGATCTAATTAGATTTGGGCCCTTTAAAAGGTAGCTTTTGAGTTCAGTGTTTGAGGTTTGTTCTGAACCCAGGAAGGCTCTTCTTAGCTATCGCTTGCCTTGGTACTTTCTGGTAAACTATCTGACCCATGGTTTAGCTTATTGTGCTCACGGAGGCAGAAGCCTCCTCCTATTTGCTTAGCACCCAAACCTCCACTGATTTTGAGAGCACCTTTGAACTTGAACTTCCCATAGGGGCAAGGACAGTGGTACCCTGAGTGACACTGCTGCTTTTAGGGTGGCTTCAGCATCTTGCCTCTCTCAATGTGGAACTTCCTTAGGAATGAGTTGGGGCTTGAGTGATTGGGCTGCAGTGTTCTCAGTCTACTGGACCTAAGGCAGAGCTTCTGCCCTATTAGGGGCTAGTGGAAGGAGGGAGCTTGGCCTCTCTGCTATACGCAGCTGGAATTTAGCCTCTGCAACATGGAACTGGAAGTAGAACATGAGTTTTAGATCACAAATATGAAAAAGCAAGAAAAACTTTCGGAATTAGACTTTTTTTTTTTTACTTTGGAATTGGAGATAAAGGAGTATGTGAATGTGTATCCCATACGGTCTTGGAAGAGGCTGCACATTTTGAAGTCAAATAGCAATTGTGACGAGGCAGGGATGTACATGCAGATGGTCTGGCTCCAGAACCTACCTTGGCTTAACCTCTGCTAGACTGTGGGAGCTCCAGAACATGGCCCTATGATTTTTAGTTTATGTTTCTATGACCTCCAGGTCTGTGTGTGCAGACTGTGTGCAACCATGTACATATTTGCCCTTTGCCTTTTCCCAGCAGGTGCTCGTGTCTCCAGGGCTTCCATGTTTAAAGCAGAACATGTGTGTGGAGTAGACGTGGCTTTCTACCACAGCCTCTCTGGGGCCTCAGGACAAGGCGCTGTCTGAGTGGACACACTGTTCTGTACTCTACATCTCAAGGCCTCCTGTGCTGGCCATGCCTGTGCCCACAGAGGGCACCCCGCCACCCCTGAGTGGCACCCCCATCCCAGTCCCAGCCTACTTCCGCCATGCAGAACCTGGCTTCTCCCTCAAGAGGCCCAGGGGGCTCAGTCGGAGCCTCCCACCCCGGCCCCCTGCCAAGGGCAGCATCCCTGTTAGCCGCCTCTTCCCTCCTCGGACCCCAGGCTGGCACCAGCCCCAGCCTCGGAGGGTATCGTTCTGTGGTAAAGCCTCTGAGACCCTGCGGAGCCCCAGTTATGACCCAAACCGGCCAGAGTCCTTCTTCCAGCAGAGTTTCCAGAGGCTTGGCCGTCTGGGCCATGGCTCTTATGGAGAAGTCTTTAAGGTGAGTGGAGTGACGACTCTCTGGGCATGTCTAGGGGTACCCTTTTGCCTTCCTTCCCTTGCCTGGATGTGATAGTGTCCTGGGCAGCCTGTTCCCTTTCTCTCCTGACAGCCCACCTCCTGGGCTGCCAGGCTCCCCTCCTCAGTGCTTGGTTTGGCTGCTTTCTCATAATTCCCCACACAGACCCTTCCAAGGGCCCTCTTAGTACACACTCTCCACTTGTCCAGAGCCTGGCATTCATGGCGGTGGCTCCCGGCTGCCATTTCCTGCCCTGGAGCCAGCTGTGCTGGGGTTCTTGGAGAGCTCTGCCTGATCCCCGGAGCCAGGCCCCCAAATGCAGTGCACATCCTGCCCTCTGCCACCCCCCAGGCTTCAGGCACTTAGGCTATACCCTCCATATCACATTTTTTTTCTTAAAATATATTTTCCAATAATTTATATTTCCTTTAAAATGGTAGTTTTCCTTATACAAGTACTACATGAAGAAATTTTTGTTGTTAAAAAGTACAAACAACATAGGCCTCTCGATCAGCTCTCTTTTTCAGAGAAAACCATTGGGCTTCTCAGGCAGGCATTCTTCCTTTCAGAACTTTCTTTATATACCTCTAGAGCTGACCATATAAAGACAAACCCGTTTATATCCTACATAGTGGATCACACTGCCTGTATTGTTCTGTAGCCAGCTTTCTTCTCTTTGCAATAGTCTGAGAGACCCTCTGGGTTAGTACTTAAAGGCCTGCCCTGCTAAGTGGTTGTGCCACCTCCCACCCCGCCTGTGAGCACCACCTCCCTTTCAGGTGCGCTCCAAGGAAGATGGCCGGCTCTATGCAGTAAAGCGTTCCATGTCACCATTCCGGGGCCCCAAGGACCGGGCCCGAAAGCTGGCCGAGGTTGGTGGCCATGAGAAGGTGGGGCAGCACCCGCACTGCGTGCGGCTGGAGCGAGCCTGGGAGGAGGGTGGCATCCTATACTTGCAGACGGAGCTGTGCGGGCCTAGCTTGCAGCAACACTGTGAGACCTGGGGCACCAGCCTGCCTGAGGCCCAGGTCTGGGGCTACCTGCGGGACGCCCTGCTTGCTCTGGCCCACTTGCACAGCCAAGGCCTGGTCCACCTTGACATCAAGCCTGCCAACATCTTTTTGGGGCCCCGGGGCCGCTGCAAGCTGGGTGACTTTGGGCTGCTGGTGGAGCTGGGTGCGTCCGGAGCCAATGAGGCCCAGGAGGGAGACCCCCGCTACATGGCCCCTGAGCTGCTGCAGGGCTCCTACGGGACAGCGGCTGACGTGTTCAGGTGAGGGCTGGGCCGTGGGAGACCTTTCCTGGGTGGAGTGTGGTCAGCAGAGGGAAGGAAATGCCATTCTAGCCCAAAGTCAGAAAGACTTGGCCTTGGGCTGGAAATGCTGCCCTGAGGGTATGGAGGCCTCACCCTCGAGCTGAGGGGGTTCTGTCAGGCTGTGTAAGTAGGAACCCTCTGGAGGAGCTCCACTGGAGTCACTCATCTTACCACTTCTCCAGAGGCACTACTATTACGACATTTACAGGGGAATGGACATAGCAGGGTTAAGGGACTGGACCAGGTAATGGGTTCCATGGCCCATGACAGCAATCACTGCTCTGCCTCTAACAGTCTATCCAGCCAGATCCGTAGGACCATGATAGTAACACTAGCAACAATAGTAACCATGCTGCCTATCTGGTAGGGGCGCCAAGAGGACTCACCAGTGTCCTGTGGGCTGTACTGGGTACTATGTCCATCCTTTATGATATGGTTTCATCATTGGCTCTGTTGGGGACTTCTCAGGGCCTCCAGTCCCTTTTCTACCTCCCTGGCTCATGGTGGAAGACAGCTGCTCTCTTCTCAGAGGCAGCCTGGGGCTCTGTGACCTAAGGCCAACCCTGCCTCTCTCTGTCCCTCACCTACCCCTAGTCTGGGTCTCACCATCCTGGAAGTGGCATGCAACATGGAGCTACCCCATGGTGGGGAGGGCTGGCAGCAGCTGCGCCAGGGCTACCTGCCCCCTGAGTTCACTGCTGGTGAGTGGAGGGCAAAGATGGAAGGGGACATGGTACCACAGGGAGGGCAGACTTGTGTGGAAGGGAATGTCTGGCAATGTAGACTGCTGGGCTCAGGGTCCAGTCACCCCTGACATGGTCCTGTCCTGTGGACAGGCTTGTCTTCTGAGCTGCGGTCTGTCCTCATCATGATGCTGGAGCCTGACCCCAAGCTGCGGGCCACAGCCCAGGCCCTGCTGGCCCTGCCTATGCTCAGGCAGCCGCGGCCCTGGAGTGTCTTGTGGTACATGGCTGCTGAAGCCCTGAGTCGAGGGTGGGCCCTGTGGCAGGTAAGCCTGGCGAGGGTGAGACTATTCCACTCTGCTCCCTGGACCTGGGGTCTGCCTAGCCTTCCTTGATCCCATCCCCACAGGCCCTGCTTGCCCTGCTATGCTGGCTCTGGCATGGGCTGGTTCATCCTGCCAGTTGGCTGCAGTCCCCGGGCCCGCCGGCCACCCCACCTGGCTCACCGCCCTGCAGCCTCCTCCTGGACAGCAGCCACTCCAGCAACTGGGATGATGACAGCATAGGGTGAGTGAGAGCTCAGGATGGAGGGGTGGTAGGGAGAGATGGGCTGTCAGTGTGACCAAACCTCACACCCAGGTCCCATGGGGATTAGTGGTAAACTGGGACCGCTCCTACAAACCTGGCCTCTATTATGCCCATGGAACAGGGCAACAAGGCTGGCGGGGTGCAGCCTTAGTTGGAATGCAGCTGTTTCTTCTAAGCTCATTGTGTGGAATGGCCACTGTGCAGAGCATAGCACAACTGGCAACTTCACACTTAGAGCACTGCCACATTAGGGAGCAGTGTAAGGACCATGGCCCCTACTGCGAAAGATAGGCAAAGCAGCCCCTACCCTAGTTGAGGCTACCAAGTGCCCCTGCCTTGAGAGAAATTCCTTAGTCTCAGGTGCCTGGTGGCCAAGTGAGAGCTGTAATTAAGAAAATGCTGCAAAGGAAGGGGGTAGGGGGCACACAGTTCTTGGGAGGATCAAAGCATTAACTCCTTCCTTAGAAAAATGTCACCCTTTCACCATAGGGACACTTTATAGCAGACATGAAGTGCCAGATAAGCCTCATTTACCACAGGTTCACTTCAAAGCCAGCTCAGTTGAAGCCTGTCTTCTGAAAAGGGACAGTTAGTTGCCTTTGAGTGTGGTCAGGTGGTTTTAAAAGTTGTGGAAGCGCTTCTTTCAAAGGGTACCATACTGTCATTGTCTTGGACTGTGGCTCCTGCTTGTTTCTAGCAGGAGCCTACACAGGGATAGGGTTGGTCTTGCTGCTCCCAAGGCCTCCCCTGTGTCCTACCCACCCCTTAACTGCTTGCTTGTCTCCCCCACCCCCTGCAGGCCCTCGCTCTCTCCAGAGGCCATCCTGGCCAGGGCTGCCAGGAGCACCTCCACCCCACGGAGCAGGCACACACTGAAGTGAGTAGGCTCAGGGTTGCGGGGTGGGAGGGGCAGCTTTCGGATCTTGAATGTCATTTCTCTCTCTTCCTTTTCCCCAGGGATGCCCTTGACCTAAGTGACATTGACTCTGAGCCTCCTCAGGGCTCCTTCCCCTCCTTTGAGCCTCGGAACCTTCTCAGCTTGTTTGAGGACTCGCTGGGTCCAACCTGAGCCCCTGCTCAGCCTTGGTGCTTTTAACCTTTTAGCCTATCCCCATATCCTCCTGGAAGCTGGGGTCCCTCTGGGGTCCAGTGGTCCCTTCTACCTGGCCATGTCTAATAAAAGATGTCTGAATCTTGGGAGCACCCAAGCTTGTTTGCATGGCAACATAGTGCTTCCTGTCCCGTTTATTGATGTCGCCTAGGGTCTGAGGGCCCCAGGATGAGCCAAGGCTGAGCCCCGCTGCAGGGCCCAGAGCACCAGGCTAGCAAACTGGAGTTGGGGGCCCCATGCTGTGTGGAACAGATTTCCTGAGCAGGCACATCCCTGGTGGGTAGGTTGAGCTGTCAGAGCATGGCACTCAAGGTGGAGGGTGGGCCTCCAGCCCAATGGGGCCTGAATCCAGGGCCACTCGGCTCTTTACATCTCTATGCCAGTTGCCTGGAAAACAGCAGTAGCCCTCTTGCCCCCTGGAGAGAGGGGCTAGTCCTGCTGCTCAAGCCCCTCACTTCGCAGTCTGGACAGAAGGCAGAAGGGGTGGGCAAGCCTCAGGCTTTTGGAAGTGCTGGCATGCAGGGCCGAAAGATGGAAGTCAGGAATCGTGGGCTGGTGGCTGATCTAGGTACCCACAAGGTACCTTACTTGAAGGTCTGAGAATGGACAGGGTGGAGTGATTGTTCTAGGCTAGTAGGATTCCAGCTGTCAGCAAGACTTGACCCCAGAGTCCCTCTGGCCCAACCCTCACAAGTCACAGAGGTTAAACTTCCTCAGTTTCTTTTTGGCTTGTACAGGAAGACATTGCCCTGGAAGAAGGCAAGGTGGGAAGCCTGGAGCCTCCGAGGCTTGGGTAGAAGAGGCTCATCCATAGGGAAGAATGGGTGAACAGATGAGAGCTCCCAACTGGAAACATCCAGGGAGCCAGCCCTTTGCAGACCAGCATAAGGAGGGAACTCTGGTGTTGTTGGCCCTAGAAGACCGTGGGCAGGCTGGCATGGTGGGCAGGCAGTGGTTCAGTCTGGGGGGCAGGCATGGTGGGCAGCCCAGAGCAGATCAGGCACAACGCCGGCGTGCAGCTGCAGGATGGATCCCACACTGAGCAGGTGCATAATCTGGTGTGAGTTGCCCCAGTAGTCGAAGCGACCCGGTCCCCAGCGCTCTGGCAGGCGGGCCACGTTCACTAGCCCCCCAAGCAGTGCCAGCGCATCCATGCGCAGGTAGCAGGGCAGGGAACCTGGAGCTCCAGAGCCCAGCCCCACTCCTCGGGCCCCAAACACCAGGAGACGAGCACCAGCCTGCCAACCGAAAGCACGAAGCCGGGCACTGGTGGAGGGGGCAGTAAGGGCCCTCCAGCCAGCCACACCCGACAGCATGGTGTAGCCCACCAGGGCAGCCGGGCGCAACCAGGGCCTGCAGGCCAGGGTGCAATGGATGATGGGCAGGGCTCCTGCACAGAGAAGAGAGGCAGGAGAGAGCACATCAGTCTGGGGGGTCTGCCTGCCCTTTCTACCCAGGGCTCATGTGAGCATGCCCTGCCTCCCCCTCCCCAGTTGCCCCCCAGCTCCCATCCTTCAAGCCTCCCTCCCCGTTCTTTGGCTCACCGAGGGTGTTGACGAGGCAGACCCCACACATGTCCAGGGCAAGGAGCCGGGTGTACACAGGGCTGCCCCCTTGGTGGCACATGAAGAGGTGGTAGAGCACGGAGCCTGCAGGTGGTGCCAGGCAGGCCACACAGTGTGTGCCCCCCAGCCAGCCATCCTTGCCCAGCTGACCCCAGGGCATGGTCATCGGCAGCAGCACCAGGAAGCCCAGCAGGGCCAGCCCTGGGGGAAGGAGACAGTTACGCATCACACAGCTTTAGCGCAGAGGACAGGTCATATTCTCAGAGAGTCCATAGTCTAGAGACAACATGAGAGGGATGAGAGCAAGATCATGACAATGCTGATAGCCAGCTATCACCAGACCTGGAACAGAGTCAGGCCTTGGGCTTTCAGGAACTTGACTTACTCAGCAGACCTCACAGTAGTTCTGGAAGCAGAAACCATTATCCCCACTTTGCAGGTGAGGAAACAACTTACCCCCAGGTGACTCCAGCAAGAGAGAGCTGGGGCAGTCTTAACTCCCAAGCTGCTCCCACCCCTGCAGCCATATCACCTCCCCTTGAAAGCTGGGGCCCCAACCTGGAACTTGGCCTCCCTGTACTAGCAGAAACCAGAAGTAGGCGTGACCTCAAGCTAAGTTCTGAACAGGACATGTGGGCAATGATACCAGATCCCAGGGCCACTTAGCTTGCTCATCCCAACCCCATGTCCTCTCTTCTCCTAAGTGACCAGACAAATGAAGGCTTTGGGCCTTTTTGTCTTCCATAAAGGGGAAGGGGGCTGAAAGGAGCTATTTTATCTGCTCCCCAGGCAACTCCTGGGTAAGCTCCATTCCTCCAAGCCGGGGCGTCCTACCCTCCCCGCTGGCACTTTGGCACTACCCTCACGGGGTTAAAGGTGGGCACAGCAGGTTGGGGCCTCTGGCTGCCCACTCTCAGTAGGGTCTGGCCAGGCCATAGTTCCCCAGTGGGGCAGGTACCAAGGCTAGGCCCAGCCGGCTCAGGGCCCCTCTTGCCGGCCAGGGCAGGCCAAGGACAGACAAGGCTGTGTCAGCAGAGCTAGACCGGGCCGCGGAGGAGGGGCCCGGCGCCTGCGGCGGGGGGGAAGGAAGGAGTCGCCACCAGGCGGAGCCCCAAGACTGGGCTGCCCGGGACGGGGGCGGCAGGGCAGCCGTGAGGGGAGGGGTCGGGTTCTGGCTTCTCCTCCTGGGTCCCTTCCTGCCCAGGTAAACACTCATCTCTAGGACGGGTGCTGGCAGGGGAGGGTGCGCGGGGCACCAGGATTACGAAGAGGTTGGACACCAGGCTTCTCTCTGGGGCTCAGAGGGATTAAGCAGACTCGGTCCTCCACTCTGCTTCCCTCGCTTGCCCCAGGGGCCCCGCCAGGGGAGCGGAAGCGGGCAGCACCGTCTGGGACAATGGCAGCTTTGTCACCGCGGCTCCTGGCCGTGCCAGGGCTCAGGCAACCCAGGACTTGGGCGCTGAGGCATTCCTCGGCCTTTGGGCCCCTGGCCCAGAGAGGGTAGGGCTTCTGCGGGTGTGGGATGCGGGGTGCGGCTCACCGTGCGTATAGATGTTTCCTAGCTCGTTATGCAGGTAGAAGAGGCTGCGCAGGCAGCCGGAGCCGCTGCTGGCTGGCCGGTAGCCGGTCAGCACGAACTTGTTGAACTGCAGGTGCGGTGGCGAGCTGGCCCAGTCCAACAGGCGCGGCCCGGCCAGGAACGCCATGACCCGACCTGGCGCGGGCGACCCGCGCCCTCCTCTTGCCAGGGGCCTGGTCCTCAGTGGGGCTGCAGCTGTGGTAGGCTCATCTCGGTGTCCGCCCACCTTCCAGTGCACGGTCCGCGCACGCGCCGGCCGTGGGGTCCCGGCTTGCGACCCACTCGCGCTGCGCACGCGCGAGCGTAGCGCCCCCGCGCTGGGGTGGAAGCTGAAGATGCGCTGGGCGCCGGAGCGCAGTGCGGCCCGCTTGGGCAGGCGCGCCGCAGGGACAGCTTGTGGCGGCTGCAGCGGCCAGTCGTCTCTCTGCAATCCTGAGGACGGGTGCGGCCGGACGCGGGAGGGGACGCCAGGCTCCGCCCCAGCCGGCCGCCCCCGCCATCCCGCCAGCGTTTCGCGCGCTGGGCTCCTGACGCAGTCTCTGCGAGGGCCAATGGGCGCGGCTGACAAGGAGGCCGCGCCCCGAGGCAGCCCAGGACTTCACCCTCTTAGCATAATATATGCAGTCCCAGCCTCGTCTGCATGGGGTGGCTGTTGACTTGGGACTCGACGTTCTGGTTCCCCCGTGGCTCTATCGGAGTGACCACGGCGCCTTGCGTCCCCCTGCAGTGCGTACCCGGGCTCTCTGAGCGACCCCAGGTCAACGCACCCTTGGGCACCCACCGTCCCCGACACAGCCCCACTACCCAGCCCTACTCCTCAGCCCAGGCTCTGTCCAAGGTACTGCCAGCCCGGAACATTCGGACGGGGTCAGGTCTGGAGCCAGGGCGCCCCGGCTCCAGGGGTGATCTCTCCACCCGCCCGGCTTCCCCAGAGCTCAACATGGAGCGCTAAGATGCCCAGGTTTCTACGGGTGTGCGTGACGCGCCTGGCGCTCTCGGGCAAGGCCCTACCCTTCAGGTCAGGCTTTGAACTTGAGCTCCAACAAAGTCTCTCTGTTATCGCCCATAAGGTACACCTACGGCCCCGCCAGGACAAGCAGGAAACCGAGGGGAAGAGAGAGGGCAGGGGAGAAAGATCGGTCCCCGCCTGGGTTCGTACTAAGGCGGGCCCAGGAAGGCATTCCTTTTGCTTAACACCACTCACAGCCGGCCTCCTCCTCCTCCCCTTCTCCAGGACCCGCCCACCCATCCTTTCGGCATTTCAGGCGGCTCTTTGTGTGGAACACCCTTAATTTGCATGGACACACCCAACCCTTCGCTCCAGTGTCTTCACATAATTTCCCACCACGTAAGAATTTACAGAACCCAGTACCAAAATAGGTCTTTTATTCAAAGTCTATGGCTGGTCTTTTGACCACTTTCGTTGATCTCTCACATTGCGCTTAGGGCGCAGTTCAGGACCATCCAAAGAGGGGCTCCAAGACCCCTGAAATCAGATCCTAGAATCAAGGTCTATGAGGAGGGGAGCTGATTCCTTTTGCCCTTTGGTCTCGACCATCTAGACACCTAGAGTCAGGCCAAGTTCCCAATAATAGCACCAGATGCTTCCTGTCCAATGTCTGGCATCTGAGATGACCAGAGGGCAAGCTGCCCTTTAAAAAGTGGAAGGCGAAGGTAGAGTGCGGCATAACGTCTCAGGTGTCCATTCCACTGTTAGAGGGTCCAATAGCCCCTTGGGGTCCCTAGTCAAAGAGCAGAGATGAGAGAACGCAGGGAACTCTGGCTGGAGGTACTCAGGGGGTGATAATTCGAAGCTAGACCCTCAGTCTGGGGGTCTCCCGGGGGGCAGGGCAGGGCCATCCCTCGAGGCCGGTGGTACCACACCGCCCAGCTTCTCCCGGAGCCCCGGGAATGCCCCAACGCCGGCGGACCTTTTCCCGGAGCCAGCAGACAGCTCCTAGAGAGAGAGTAGACGTCAGCCGAACCCCCAAACAATCCCATGTCCAGCATCCTGTTTCGCCTGCGATCCCATGCACGATTCCCTGTGTAGACCCAAGGCCTTATCGTTCAAAAATCCATGAATTCCTCCCAGCTCCGTTTCCCTCCTGGGCCTCATGTTCCCACCAGGGCCCCCGCGCCCCGGGGCACCAAGACATCAGGCGTCGGCTGGGTCACCCTCAGGCCCTGTCCCAGCGCCCGCACCGTCGGCGCAGCAGGCGCAGCAGCGACAGCAGCAGCAGCAGCAGCACTGAGACAGCCGTCACCATGGAAAAGACCCGAGCTGCGGGCACACGGGTGCGGTGAGTACAGGGCTCCGAAGGGGCTGCTCCCCAAATTCCCTCTCCTCTTAAGCGCCCGCCTCACCCCCCATCGCAGCCTCTGGAGCCCCAGGCCCGGGGCTGCAGCTCACGTTGGTACCATCCGGGAGCGCTGCAGGGGTCTGGGCCGAGCCTTTGGGGGGAGCCCTGTCCTCAGCGGCGTTCTGCAGCCCTGTGGAGAGGGGTATGAGGCAGGTGGCGGGGGAGCAGGTCCGGGGGGACTGGGCGGGGCCTCACCGCGGTAGGTGAGCGCGAAGCCCTGCGCGTGGCCGCGCGCGTCGCTGCGGAAGGTCAGTAGCAGCGCGG